TGGGGGGATGTACTCCCTGGGCAGGGGTGGGGACACACCGTGGGGAATGCAGGCTGTGGGGTCTGGGGGGGGATGTACTCCATGGTGCTGTGGAGTTCTGGGGGGATGCACACCACCACAGGGATGAATGCCGTGGGTTTGGGGGCGCACGCTGTGTGGGGTGAGAGGTTCCCCGCTGTGGGGGGGCCGCATGCCCACCCTAAGAGCAGCGTGTGGCATTGCTGCAGAGCCGCCCTGTCTCAGGGAGCTGGAGAAGATCCAGATCCAAGAAGCAACCAAAAAAAAGCTGGGTGAGTGGGGCATCCCAGGGCCCTATCCCCCAGCAGTGCCGGGATGAGGACGGGGAGCTCCCAGGGGAGCTTTGGCACTGCACGTCTTCGTGGGGGGGGTGGGGGGCCATCGCTTCCCCTGCAGGCACCTTCATCCCCAGCTGCGATGAGGATGGCTACTACCGGCGGGCACAGTGCGAGCCGGGCGGTGGCGAGTGCTGGTGCGTGGACCAGCACGGGGCCGAGCTGACGGGCACCCGCGGCCACGGCAGCCCCGACTGCGGTGAGAGCTGCGGGGAGCGCCCGCCTGGGGACAGCGCGGTGACCCCGGGACCGGCCCTCAACCTCCGCCCCTCGCCCCCACAGATGAAGCGACGGGGTTTTCCGGCGACTTCGGGAGCAGCGTGGGCTGGGAGGACGAGGAGGAGAAGGAGCCGGAGGAAGCCGGCGAGGAAGGCGAGGAAGAGGAGGGCGAAGCGGGCGAGGGCGACGACGGCGGCTACATTTGGTAGAGGAGCGGGAGAGCCCGGTGGGCGGCACGGCCGGGAGGCAGCCCCCCAGCTGGGGGTCCCCGTGAGCCCCCCGCTGCCGGTGTGGCATAGGGTGGGTGCTCCCCCCTCCGGTCCCGTGTGGGATGGGGCAACGGGGCGCTCGCCCGGGGAAGGGGCGAGCGGGGCGTGGGGGGCCGCTCTTGTGCAAATTTGAGCTTTTTTTTTTTTTTTTTTTTTTTTTTTTTTTTTTTTGGGTAGAGCCTTGTAGGCCTAGTGTGCTGCTGCGTGGTCTTCAACCGGGCAAATGGCGCTAATAAAAGTGGGAAAAAAAAAAAAAAAAGGAAAAAAACCCCCCCAAAAAACACCCCAAATCAACAAACCCCCGTATAGATAAGCTGCCCCTCCCCTTCCTCCCCGTATCCCCCCTCATGTTGTGCTTGCGTGGCTGCCCCGGCCCCCGGCGTTGTGTAGCGGCTGTGAAATAAATACCCCGTGCTGTGTCAAACACTCGCCCGCCCGTTCCTCCCCCTGGCACCCCCCGTGCCTCCCCTGCACCCAGCGGCCCTGCAGGGGTGTCCTGGGGAGGGGGTGGTGGTGCTGCTGTGCCCTCCTGTGCGTGGGCGCTGCTGGGCTGGGCTGTGGGCTGGGGTAGGAGTGCCCCCCTGCCAGTGCCCCGGCTTTGGTTCCTGAATTCGGCTGCCATGAAGCTGGAATTGGACTCCCTCCCCAGGGATATGTCCCCTCCCCAGCTCCTGACCCTCTCCAGAACCCCAAACTAACCCCCTTTCCACAGGGTCTGGAGCGGTAGAAGGATTCAGAACTGCCCTCCCTCCCTGTGCTTTACCCCAACCCCAAACGAGACCCCAACCCAATCCTATCCCTGACCCAGAATATCCCTTACAGGGCCAGCCTGCTCCCCACAACCCAACCCATGCCCTAGTGAGGGCCTCCACCACACCCCCTGCAGCCACTCAGCACCACGGAACACCAGGGCCTCAACTCACAGCATTTATGGCCCCAGGGAGAAAATAAAACAATAATACAGACCCCAAACCTCCCCAGTTTGGGGCCGTCAGCAGCTTTCAAAGGCACTGTGCCATACCCCCTGCCCCACGGTGAGGAGTCCAGGTGCTTGGGCCCCCACATCACCGGGGCTGAAGAGGGGGTGTGGCAGCTCCATCCGCAGCACCTCGGTCCCTGGTACCTCGGTCCCTGGCACACGCCCCCCACCTGGGGGGGCTCAGAGCTTGCTGGGGGGTCCCGGCCGCTGCTGGAGCTGCCAAGTCGCCCGCACCCCCTCAGCCACCCGGTTGAGCCCAGCGAAGGCGTGGGGGTCGCCGGTGCGGCGGTAGCGCGCGACGAGGGGCTGCAGGACGGTGATGGGGATGCAGAAGTTGAGGTGGGGGTAGGTGGCCCCCGCACCGGTGTCCCGCGTGTTGCTGGCCACGATGCCTGGCGGGGAGGGAGCGAGGCCCACGTCACTGGGACCGGCCGGGGGACACCCATGGGACCCCCACACCTAACCCCGGGGAGGGAGAGCCCTGGCTCACCCATGAGGCATCCGCTGCGGGAGGACACGAGGGGGCCGCCGCTGGAGCCCCCGTGGACAGCACAGGTGGTTTGCAGCATGACAGGGCGCCCGGCCACCGCCACCACGGCCGAGAGGACCCCGGCTGTCACCGAGGGGCCGCACGCCGGCCCCAAAGCCCCGTAGCCCACCACGGTCACCTCTTCTCCTGGGATGGGAGAGGCGGGAGGTGGGTGCAAGGGGGCGAGGCAGCCCCTACCCCAACCCCCCGTGTCCCGCCATTGCTTACCGGGAACGAAGGTGTCGGCCAGGCACGGCGGGACAAAGCCGGGCACGCTCTCCTCCAGCTCCACCACGGCCACGTCGAAGGGGGACGACTCCTCGGTGGCAAACACCACACGTCCCCTGAGCACGGCGGCATCCCTGAGGACACGGTTAACGAGATGTCAAACCGGGGGGCACGCAGGGTGGGGGGATTAAGGTGGGAGGGAGGGGCACAACCGCACTCACTGGCCGGGACCCGCTGCCGCTGTCACATGGAGCGGGGCTCTGGCCTCCACGACGTGCCGGCAGGTGAGGAGCATCCTCGGGGCCAGCAGCACCCCGGAGCCCCAGGTCGCTCCGCACTCCACCAGCGCCGTCCAGCCCAGGGGGTCCTGCCCGCTGCTCGCCGGCACCGCGGCCACCCACGCCGGCACCGGCGGCACCGCGATGCCGGCTTCGCCCAGGACAGCGGCGCTGCTGCGCAGGATGGCGGCGAGCGAGCAGAGCAGCGTCAGCCCGACCCACTCGGCGCCCTTCCAGCAGAAGGAGGCGGCGATCAGGGCCACCACGCGGGGCCCGTCGGGCGAGGGCACGAAGGCGGCGCCGCCCTCGGTACCGGGCAGGCAGCGGGCATCGGTGAGCACCAGGGCGTTCTCCTCGCCCGCCAGGTTGCTGACCACCCCCCGGCTCAGCGTGTTGAGGAAGAGCTCGGGGCACAGGTCTCCGAAGGGGGAGCCGCAGGCCAGCAGCGCCTGCCCCTTGCGCAGGCAGCCGGCGCTGGCCCGCGCCGCCCAGCCGCCCTCGGGCGCGTCCAGCCCGGGCACCCGCAGCCAGGCGAACCAGGGCAGCGCCCGCGGCTCGGCGCCCTCCTCCTCCTGGGCCCCGAACCGCCACCGCTCCGCCCGCCCGAGGCCGCGCTCCAGCGCCCGCCGGAACGCCGCGCACGGCACCAGCGCCAGCAGCCGCGCATCGAGCTCCCGCAGCCCGCCGGCCTCGGCGCCCAGCACAACGCTGAGGCGCGGGCACGGCCGCAGCGCGGCGGGCGGCAGCGCGGCGGGCCGTGCCCAGGCGGCGGAGCCGGCGCGCAGGAACGGGGCGAAGACGGCGGCGTGGCAGAGCACCAGCGCGGGGCGGCGGCACAGCACCAGCCCGCTGCAGCCGCCATTGCCGCCGTCCGCGCCCCTCACCCGCACCGCGCAGCACGGCGGCGCCGCCGCCATCACCGCCGCCGCGCCCCGCCCCCGGACCCGCCCCGCGCGCCCATTGGCTGGGGGCGCCCCCCGCGCACTCCCCATTGGCTGGGGCGGGGCGCGCACGTGGCGGACACGCCCCCGCGGGGCCCTCACGGGGGGTGCGCGGCCCCGCTGCCCCGGGAGCCCCGGCCCAGGCCCGGCCCCGCTGCCCCCATCAGGGATCCCTCGTTCGGAGCCGTCCCTCGGCCCCTGCCTCCCTGGGAGAATCAAGACTGTCGCGCCCACCGCCGCTGTCGGTCCCAGCGCTAGCCCTCAGTCGGCACAAACCCCCACTTCCCCGGTACCCTCGGCCCGGACACCCCACGGCCACGCTCGCTTCACCCGCAGCACAAAACGAGTACCCAACCCTGATTTCCAACAGAGGCACCCGGACTGGGAAAATCCCTCTGGGAGAGCTAAAATCCCCCTGAACACCGGGAGTCAGAGCCAAAGCCCCAGCTCCCCCTTTCCCCCCCAGCCCCTTCCCGGCTGTCTGGGGCTCGGTGTGGTTTCCTTACACCAGGAGCAAAGGCCCTGCAAGCCATGAGCCCTCCCTGGTTGCCAGCCCAGAGACAAGCGGCTCTTCCATCCTACCTCGGTTTCCCTCACCAGCTGCACCATGCAGGCCACAGAACCATGGAACAATTGAATATCCTGGGCTGGAAGCGACAAGGGATTGAGTCCAGCTCCTGGCCCTGCACAGGACAGCCCCAAGAATCCCACCCTGTGTCTGAGAACGGTGTCCAAATGCTTCTGGAACTCTGGCTGGTGTTCTGATGGCCCCAAGGCCCAGCAAACACCAAGCCAGACTGAGGCTCGTTGCCCCTTCGGAGGAGAACAACATGTCTTTATTGAACTGAAAATGAGTGCCAGACAGCAATGAAACTTCAGACAAAAAAAAAAAAAAAAGTCCGTTGAGAGTATAAAAGAAACCGGTTTAGTCTACATTAATCACCTCATGATATGCAAATGTCAAACACTTCCATGCTACAACAACCGAAACAGCTCCGTGGTTCTTACTGCGATGGCATGGCCAGAGAATCCTCAATGGAGGGTCTGGCCTGAGGGAGAACCAAGCAGCCCCTTCCCACTGGACACCACCCCCAACACCTGCAGCAGGTGCTCCTCCCCAACTAGGAAAAAATAATAATAAAAATAATCCCTGTAAACTAAAGAAGCTGGGATTGCACACCTCAGTCCCAACGGCACCTCGCCGTCGTCGGTCAGCGTGACACAGCACAGCCACCCTACAGCTCAGTTAAGCCCAAATGCTATGTTTATTGAGGACTTCTAATATCGTGATACCTTGGTTCAGTAATTTGTGAAATACCTAAATACCGTTAAATATATTTTTAAAAAACCCTAAACCAGACTCTGGACTAAACAAGATGAACTTTAAACTAAAAAGTTAGAAGGGACACCATTTACATTAACACTTTCTTTAAAAAATATAATTGCTTTTTCCTTTTCTGTTTTTCGTTTGTTTGTTTGTTTGTTTTGAAGTCAATTAACCACAGTGGTGAGACGTGCTCTCTTTTTCAGCTGTTACACTGCAGCGTGCAGAGTTTGGCCTTCCCAGACTGGAGCAGCCCCGCTGTCACCGAACTGGCAGGGACAACTCAGGAACGGCGCTGCCTCCCCGCCGCGTGGAAAAGAGTGGTGTCACCACTGTGCCATAAGGGCAGCCGGAAAACCAGGAGTCTCTTGGGCAATGCCAGTATGCACTTGGAAAGCCTTCCATGTTCTAATAGAAAAGTCCATAGGAAGCTGTGAACAGGATCAGTCCAGAGGAGTAAAACTCTCGTGTCCGTGCCAGCATCAGTCAATGTACTGCGATAGCCAGCGGAAGCCCTCACCGTAGCCTTGCCTCTTGAGCACGCTGCACATGAACACCTCCATGGGGCGAGCATTCAGGTCCTTCAGTGGCACATTTCCCTGGGGAAATCCAAACAGGAGTCACATCTGCACCCCTGGTGCCCTCAGGGGAGCCACGGCCATCCAGGGGAGCTCCTCTCACAGGCCCCTGTGTGAGGACTGCATTTTGGACAATCCCAGCAGCCTCAAAACTTGCCCAAGGGCATCACCAGAGTTTTGGGTTACAAAGGACCTTAAAGATGACCTCATTGCACCCCATTGCCAGGTCCCACTATCCCAGGTTGCTCCAAGACCTGTCCAACCCGGCCTTGAACACTTCCAGGGATGGGGCAGCCACAGCTTCTCTGGGCACCCTGTGCCAGGCACTCACCAACCTCAAAGGGAAGAATCTCTTCCCAATTTCCCATGTGAACCTGCCCTCTGGCAGTAGGAAG